TATTATTCCATTATGACTAAAAGATTTGTAGTTTAAAATTTTCAATTTTTAAAACATTTTTACTATTATTTTTTATTTTGTAGAGATAGGGTTTTGCTCTGTTGCCCAGGCTGGTCTCAAACTCTTGGCTTCTCAAAGTGGTGGGATTATAGGTATGAACCATTGTGCCTGGCCTAAATTGTACATTTTAAAATAGTCTAACTCAGCCTGTAATCCCACGCTTTGGGAAGCTGAGGTGAGTGGATTGCCTGAGCCCGTGGGTTCAAGACCCGCCTGGGCAACTTGGTGAGACCTCATCTCTACAATAAATCAAAAAATTAGCCAGGTGTGGTAGAGCGTGCCTGTAGTTCCAGCACTTGGAAGGCTGAGGTGGAAGGATCGTTGGAGCCCAGCAGGTCGAGGCTGCGGTGGCCGGGAGCGGCCACTGCACTCCAGTCTGGGTGACAGAGACTCCAATTCAAAAAAATAAATAAATAAAATAAAATAAAATAGTCTGACTCTTGGATATAAAAGAAGGAGTCAGAACCTTAGGAAAAGTTCAATTGTCTATGAAAAAGAATAGCTATTTGGAAAATAAGTCAACTGCTAGGGATTAAAATTACAGTTATTGATTTTCAAAACTTCAGGCTTGGTGGCTCAGCCTGTAATCCCACGCCTTTGGGAGACTGAGGTGAGTGGATTGCCTGAGCCCGTGGGTTCGAGACCCGCCTGGGCAACTTGGCGAGACCTCATCTCTACAATAAATAAAAAAATTAGCCAGGCGTGGTAGCGCTCGCCTGTAGTTCCAGCTACTTGGAAGGCTGAGGCAGAAGGATCGCCGGAGCCCAGCAGGTCGAGGCTGCGGTGGCCGGGAGCGGCCACTGCACTCAAGCCTGGGTGACAGAGTGAGACTCCAACTCAAAAAAAAAAAAAAAACCTTAGTAAATGAGCTAGGCACAGTGGTGCATGCCTGTAATCCAGTTAGAAATTCCTCGAGGCTAGAAATTTGAGACCATAATTTGTAATGAATTTGGTGGCTCCTGCCTGAAATCCCAGTACTTTGGGAGGCCAAGGTGGGAGGATTGCTTGAGCCCAAAAGTTTGAGACCAGCCTGGGCAACCTAGTGAGACCTCGTTTTTAAAAAAGAAGAGAGAGAAAAAAATACAAAAATTAGGCAGGCATGGTAGTGCATGCCTGTAGTCCTAGTTACTTAGGAGGGTGAGATGGGAGGATCACTTGTCTGAAATCTGCTTATATCATTGATAATGAAAATGGGCCTTTTCGGAATTGTACTATTTCATATCCTTTATTGTAGGAAGGAATTGTTGAGAATCTTTTCAAATGGGCCCGAGAGGCTGATCAGCCATTGAGGACATACTCTACTGGACTGTTAGGCGGTGCTATGGAAAATCAAGACATTGCTGCCAACTATAGGGATGAAAATTCACAGCTGGTAAGTACTGTGCTAGAATCAATTTTTGTATAAGACGAGAAGGTATTCACGAGTTCTTTCTTGCTACCTGAATCTGAATAGATAGATTATTTTTATTACCTTGTATTGGAGAATAGCTATAATTTCAACATTACTTTCCATAAGAGTTGTTTAAAATGGAAAATAGTTTTTAATCTTGTCAAGGATGATAGTGCTTTATACCAAATAAAGAATAGTGCCATTCCTTGCTTCCCTTTCTCTAATTCTAAATCATGAATTATATCTAGTTTCTGCATCTTTAGAATGAGGTCTAGCTCAGCTTGACCCAAACAGATCAGTTGTGAATGATGCATTTTTTTTTTTTTTTTTTTTTTTGAGTTGGAGTCTCACTCTGTCGTCGCTCAGACTGGAGTGCAGTGGCCGCTCCTGGCCACTGCAACCTCGACCTGCTGGGCTCCGGTGATCCTTCCGCCTCAGCCTTCCAAGTAGCTGGAATTACAGGCATGCGCTACCATGCCCGGCTGATTTTTTGATTTATTGTAGAGATGAGGTCTCGCTGCCCAGGAGGGCTCGAACCTGCGGGCTCAGGCAATCCACTCACCTCAGCCTCCCAAAGGCGCAGGATTATAGGCTGAGCCACCGAGCCCGGCTGAATGATGCATTTTATGTGCAAATCTTCTGGTTTGGGTTCTCTGGAAAGTTTTATGGGGAACAAGACTTTTAGCTATTGCTTATTATATCAAGTTTTAGAAATGAAGTCAGCATCTTTATCAAATATTTACTGTTACCAGTCATTGTGCTCACTGCATAAGTCTCCTGTTTTTTGTTTTTTTTTTTTTTTTGAGTTGGAGTCTCACTCTGTCGCCCAGACTGGAGTACAGTGGCATGCTGCCGGCCACCTCAGCCTTGACCTGCTGGGCTCTGACGATCCTTCTGCCTCAGCCTTCCAGGTAGCTGGAACTACAGGCATGCTCTGCCACGCCTGGCTAATTTTTTTGATTTATTGTAGAGACGAGGTCTCGCCAAGTTGCCCAGGCGGGTCTTGAACCCACGGGCTCAGGCAGTTCACTCGCCTTGGCCACCCAAAGTGCTGGGATTACAGGCTGAACCACCGAGCCCGGCCAGAGTCTCCTGTTCTTAAGTGGAAATAAGAATGATTAAGAATTATATAATTGAGATGTAAAAGAGACACCCCCTTTTACTCCAATGTCTGTTGATAGGTGGCAATAGTGCTTCGAAGACTGAGGGAACTACAGCTTCAGGAAGTGGCTTTGCGGCAGGAAAACAAACGTCCCAGTCCACGGAAGCTCTCTTCTGAACCCCTTTTGCCTCTGGATGAGGAAGCTGTGGATATGGACTATGGTGACATGACTGTAAATGTAGTGGATGGAAGTCGAGAGGAAGTTCCTGGAGACATGGAGATCTCTTTTCATCTTGATTCAGGTCACAAGACCAGTAGCAGAGTGAACTCAGCTACCAAACCTGAGGAAGGAGGATTGAAGAAAACCAAGTCAGCAAAACAGGGTGACAGAGAGAGCTTTAGGAAAGCCAAGCAGAAGTTGGGTTTCTCAGCTTCTGATCCAGAACGCATGTTTGTTGAATTGTCTAATAGCAGCTGGTCAGAAATGTCCCCCTGGGTCATTGGCACCAATTATACCCTTTATCCTATGACTGCTGCTATTGAGCAGCGACTCATTCTTCAATATTTGACTCCTCTAGGAGAATATCAGGAGGTAAGCTTACTGGGAAGAGTATTGTTCACACTTTGAAACTATTGTGTTCATTTCTGAGATGTATTTCTGGTAGCGTTTAATATAATGATATTTTCTTACTCTACTATGAAAAAAATCTTTGCCCCAAACTGGTAAAGTCTTAATGCAGGTCGTTTCTACAGATCTGTTTGATCAAAGTACATTCATATGTTTATCTTCATAAGGGAGTGGGGGAAGATTTCTTTAATCTTTTATCCTCATATAATAAATAGGAAATGTGTGAAAATAAAACAATTTGACTTGTTTTTGATCTTCATTTTAGTTACTTCCCATATTCATGCAGCTTGGATCACGGGAGCTGATGATGTTCTATATTGACCTGAAGCAAACTAATGATGTTCTGCTTACGTTTGAGGCACTCAAGGTAAAGGTCTTAAAAATATTGGGTTACCAAGCACTTTATTAGCAGAGATATGCCTATGTGTTTTGGCATATAGTTTCTCTGGGTTTTATTGCTCACGGTATTTCTATTGCCAGATGTGTCAGAATAGTAATAAACAAAACATACTTATTTAGATAGAGATGAGGCTTACCAAGTGTCTCCATCGAAATTTGGGAGTTAATCCTAAAAGGCAGAATGTTGAGATAGAAAGTAGATTTAGACTTGGGAGCAGCCTTAGTTATTGTTGCTGAATAGGAATGAAAAACTGTGTAATAGTACTTTCTTATGTCATACTGCCTTTTTTTTTTTTTTTGAGTTGGAGTCTCACTCTGTCGCCCAGGCTCTAGTGCAGTGGCATGCTCATGGCCACCGCAGCCTCGACCTGCTGGGCTCAGGGGATCCTTCTGCCTCAGCCTTCCAAGTAACTGAAGTATAGGCACGCGTCACCATGCCTGGCTAATATTTTAGTTTATTGTAGAGATGAGGTCTCACCAAGTTGCCCAGGTGTGAGCCACTGCACCCAGCTGATACTGCCTTTTTAGATGTTCCTCATATCAATCAATAATACTTTTTCTAGACTCTTGACTATATATATATTGTACCATGTTAGATTATATAGGGTGAACAAAATATAAACCAGAAAATGAGTAAAGAAATAGCAGTCAGACCCAAACTCAGAAAAGGGAAATGATTTCCTAGGTTGCAAAGGGGCTAAACATGGGAGGGCAAGTAAGTCTAGCTCAAGTTCATATTTGTCCGTGATAATTTTTTTTTTAAGTCAGAGTCTCACTTTTTTGCCTAGGTTGGAGTGCAGTAGCATGTTTACGGCCACTGCAGCCTTGATTTGCTGGGCTTAAGCAATCCTCCCTCCTCAGTCTTCCAAGCAGCTGGAACCACAGGCGCACGCCACCATGCCTGGCTAATTTTTTGGTATATTGTAGAGATGAGCTGTCACCAAGTTGCCCAGGTTGGTCTTGAACCCCTGAGCTCAGGCAGTCCTCTCGCCTCTGCCTCCCAAAGTACTGGGATTATAGGCATGAGCCACCGTGCCTGGCTTATCCATGATAATTAAGTGATCTGAATGGATGGAGGTAAACTGGCAGATAGTATTGTGGCTATAATACAGTTCTACCAGACAGGTAACTATTGAGCAAAGTACTGTTCAGGGATGAGGTCATTAAAATTACTTTTTTTAAAAAAAGAATAAGCCGGGCTCGGTGGCCCAGCCTGTAATCCCTCGCTTTGGGAGGCTGAGGTGAGTGGATTGCCTGAACCTGTGGGTTTGAGACCCGCCAAGGCAAGTTGGCGAGACCATCTCTACAATAAATAAAAAATTAGCTGGGCATGGTAGTGCGCGCCTGTAGTTCCAGCTACTTGGAAGGCTTAGGCGGAAGGATTGCTGGAGCCCAGCAGGTCGAGGCTGCGGTGGCTGGGAGCGGCCACTGCGTTACAGTCTGGGTGACAGAGTGAGACTCCAATTCAAAAAATAAAAGAATAGAGATTTGATCTTACTATGTTGTTCAGGCTGGTTTCAAATTCCTGGGCTCAAGTGATCCTCCCACCTTGGCCTCGCAAAATGCTGGGATTACAGGCATGAGCTATTATGCCTGGCCTAAAATTACTTTTTAAAAAATTATGTAACACAAACAAAAATTGTAACAGTCTTGAAAACCCAAAAGAAAATAACATTCACAATCTTCCTTATAATAAAATAACTTTTTATTTTTGTGTTCCATTCTTATCTTTGCTAATGGCTAGTTACTTTTAAAAAATTGTTAGCTAGACTTTAAAATTCACTTAAACTGTAGCTGTATGATTATTCTATAAAAATTAGATGCTTCAGCTGGGCACAGTGGCTCACATCTGTAATCCCAGGTGTGGATTACTTTGAGAGGTTGAGGCGGGAGGATTGCTTGAGCCCAGGAGTTCAAGACCAGCTTGTGCAACATAGTGAGACTTGGTTTCTACAAAAAAGGAAAAAAAAAAATTAGCTGGGCATGGTGGCATGCACCTATAGACACGGACACTCAGGAAGCTGAGGAGGTCTCATCACTTGAGCCCAGGAGGTTGACACTGGGGTGAGCTGTGATCATGCACTCCAGCCTGGGTGGTGGAGTGAGACCACAACTCAAAAACAGACAAAGCCGGGCTCGGTGGCTCAGCCTGTAATCCCAGTGCTTTGGGAGGCTGAGGTGAGTGGATTGCCTGAGCCCGCGAGTTCGAGACCTGCCCACGCAACTTGGTGAGACTTCATCTCTACAATAAAATAAAAAAAAATTAGCCGGACATGGTAGCACGTGCTTGTAGTACCAGCTGCTTGGAAGGCTGAGGCAGAAGGATCGCTGGAGCCTAGCATGTTGAGGCTGTGGTGGCCGGAAGCAGCCACTACACTCCAGTCTGGGTGACAGAGTGAGACTCCAACTCAAAACACAAAACAAGAAAAACAGAAACAGACAAAAGAAAACCAAGCTAGATGCTCCATAATTTTCTTAGGGTATGCTGTTTCCATTTTTTTTTTGTTATAGAGGACACTGCAATGAATATCTTTGCATATAACTTTGGGGCTATTTTCATTAAATTGTCTCTGCTTAGAATGGGGACTGGTATATGGTGAGCAGTCAACAAATAGTAGTCATTTAGTAAATGAATGAATCCCTTAATATTTGTTTTTTGAACTGGAAACAAGGATTTTCATGAAAACTGAAGTTATTCAGCTGGGCTAAAATTTAATTTTAAAATGAAATTAGAATTAAAAAGAAAAAGCATAAGCAAGCTAAATTTCAGTGAAGTCCTGGACATGCAGAACCCAGGGAAGTGTGGCTATATAACAAGTAAAATTTTACTGTGAACATATAACAAGTATAAAATTAACCAGAATTAGAATGGAAACCAAAGATGGTAAGTTATTTTATTGTGAGTTTGGGTTTCTTAGGATTGTTACAATGTTGTTTATGTTACACGTTTTTGTTTTAAGTGATTTTAATGACTTCATCTCTGAACAATACATTGTTCAATAGTTACTTGTTTGGTAGAACTGTATGATAGCCATGACGTTATTTACCGGTTTACCTCTGTCCATTCACATCACCTTAATTATGGATAATTATGGACTTGGAGGGCTAGACTTACTTCCCCTCCCATGTTTAACTCCTTTACAATGTAGAGTGTCATTTCTCCTTTCTGAGTTTGAGTCTGCCTGCTATTTTTTAACCACCTTCTATTTATTTTCCCTTTGCTAAATAGTTTGTTTTTTTACCACTTGGCAACTGTATTTTTGCCTTCATTCTTTGTTAACATTTATTGAATAATTTTAATGGGCCAGGTACGTTGCTCAGGTGTTAGAAATACAAATGAGACCAGTACCTAAACAAATGAAATCAAGTCTTTGCCCTTTATGGTTTGATAAAGAGAGACAGCCACTTTTGATTGATGGATTGATTGGGTCAGGGTATTACTCTGTTGCCCAGGCTGGCATAGTCATGGCTCTCTGCAGCCTTGACCTCCTGGGCTCAGGCAATCCTCAGCCTCATGAGTAGCTGGGACTACAGGCATAAGCAACCATGAACAGTTAATTTTATAATTTTATTTATTGATTGATTGCCACCATACTCAGCTAATTTTTAAATTTTTTTTGTAGAGATAAGGTTTTGCTATGCTGTCTAGGCTGGTCTCGAGCTCCTGGGCTCTAGCAATCCTCTTGTCTCACCCACTGCTGGCCACCTGAAGTGCTGAGATTACAGGTGTGAGCTGCCACACCCAACCTATAATTTATTTTAAATATTATTGGTTGTGAATAAAGTGTGGGGACACAAAGAGGGGAGTGGTCTGTTCTTCCTGAGAGGTGATAATTTCTAGAGAAGGCCTCATGAAAGGATGATGTTTTTCATTGGGTTTTTTTTTTTTTTTTTGAGTTGGAGTCTCACTCTGTCACCCAGACTGGAGTGCAGTGGCCGCTCCCGGCCACCGCAGCCTCGACCCGCTGGGCTCCGGCGATCCTTCCGCCTCAGCCTTCCAACTAGCTGGAACTACAGGCGCGCGCTACCACGCCTGGCTGATTTTTTGATTTATTGTAGAGATGAGGTCTCGCTGCCCAGGCGGGTCTCGAACCTGCGGGCTCAGGCAATCCACTCACCTCAGCCTCCCAAAGGCGCGGGATTACAGGCTGAGCCACCGAGCCCGGCTTTTCATTGGGTTTTAAAGACAACCTCATTATTATTCCAGCACTATGCTGTTCAATACAACTTTCTGTGATGATGGAGATGTCCTGTGTCTGTGCTGGTCAGTACTGTGGCTACTAGCCGTGAGTTTTGAGCATTTGAAATGTAGCTAGTGTCTTGACTGAGGCACTAATTTTTAAATTTTATTTAATTTTAATTAATTTTAGTTAAATCAGCCACATTTGGCCAGTACCTTCTGCATTGGATTTTGCAGTTCCAAACTATGTTGGAGTGGAACAGAAATGAGGAAATTTGCTTTTCAGCCCCTAGAAATTTTCTTTGGAGGAGATCAGATGTAATTGAACTAATGTGTGTTACTTCACGTGGAATATGGGCTGTATATGTATATAAAGTGTATAAACTCAGCCGGGCTCGGTGACTCAGCCTGTAATCCCAGCGCTTTGGGAGGTTGAGGTGAGTGGATTGCCTGAGCTGGCGGGTTCGAGACTCGCCTGGGCAACTTGGCGAGACCTCATCTCTACAATAAATCAAAACCTCAGTCGGGCGTGGTAGCGCGTGCCTGTAATTCGGGCTACTCGGAAGGCTGAGGCAGAAGGATCGCCGGAGCCCAGCAGGTCGAGGCTGCGGTGGCCGGGAGCGGCCACTGCACTCCAGGCTGGGCAACAGAGTAAGACTCCAACTCCAACTCCAAAAAAAAAAAAAAAAAAGTGTATAAACTCTTGGTTATAGTTTGAAAAGTGAGATGAAACTGTAGATCAAAGTTGTCTCCAGTGACCCAAAGGTTTTGCTCTCAGATGCAGCTTCTGGTGCTGAACAGGATACAGTAGAAGAGATTGGGCAGTTGCTATATCTATATCTATGTTTTTTGTGGGGGAAACTATAATGGGTGTCACATATAGTTTAACTGCATCTTGGGGGAAGGACTGGGTAGAAGCATGGTAGAGGTTTCTGTGACAGACAAAAAGTAGGATAACGATAGAAGGGATTTGACTTATATGTGAAAAGTAGCCTGAGTCTGGGTGATGACAGTTTTTTTTTTTTTTTTTTTGAGTTGAGAGTCACTCTGTCACCCAGTCTGGAGTGCTGTGGTGTGATCACAGCTCACTGTAGACTTGACTTCCTGGACTCAGGTTATCTTTCCACCTCAGCCTCTGGAATAGCTGGGACTACTGCCACGTGCCACCATACCTGGCTAATTTTTAAATATTTTGTGGAGACGAGGTCTCGCTATGTTGCCCAGAATAGTCTCAATTCCTGGGCTCGAGCAGTCTTCCTGCCTTGGCCTCCTAGAGTGCTGGTATTACAGATTTGAGTCACCGCGCCCAGCCTTGAGAGAACTTCTGAAGAGAGCACATACCTGTTACTTTTGCCATTGACCTTGGCAAGATTTGTGCAGATGTCAAATCAAGAAATTGCAAATCTGTGTGGTCTCTTCCTGGAAGACGTCTTGGTATGGGAAATAGGAAGAGGAGGAGCTCTAGTTCTCCCAAGGCTCTATCTACTTTGGCCTGGGTTCAGAGTCATCAAGCAGTCTGCTGCTTATATTTTGCTCTCTGCCCTTAAAATTGTGCAGGAGGTTGGGTTCACTTAGAGAGGCTCGTGAGCGTTGAATTTGAAGTTAACAAAACTTAAAAGATAAAAAGCTTTTAAACGTCTATTTAATATGCATTCTGGTTAGTTCTAAAAATTTATTAGTTTTGATAATTTGCTCAAGATTGTTCTCTTGGAGATATATTGGTCAACTTAAAAGAAGGCAAAGTTTGTGACTGCTTTAGTAGATAATTCAGTGACACAGCCAAAGCTATAATGTAGAGCTGATTAAAGGATTAAAATGGGGAGGTTAACAAAAGTCCTTTAGGGAAGCTATGAAATAATAAAATGGTTGTAGAATTATATTATTATTTATAGCAATATTTTTCACCTTCATAAAAACTTCTGATGTTTGGAGGGAAAAGAAGAAGGTTATGGAATCTTAGTTTTTGTTTCCCATAAACTATATTGGCTTTTCTTTTGTGCAGGAGTAGTTGTTTACTTAGAGGATTCTTGTATTTAGTAGTTTAGCTGAATATTACATCAAGAGTTTTTGTGAATTTTCGAGATTGTTTTGTGGTAACTTATGTCCTCGTTGTTTAGCACCTAGCATCTCTCCTGCTGCATAACAAATTTGCCACAGAATTTGTTGCTCATGGTGGAGTACAGAAGTTACTGGAAATTCCTCGTCCTTCTATGGCTGCAACTGGTGTATCTATGTGCTTATATTACCTGTCCTACAATCAGGATGCCATGGAAAGGGTAAGTCCAGTCTATACAGGTCTATGGGAGTAGGATTAGGTGGAGGGCATTCTCTTTATTTATTTTTATTTTTTATTTTTTTTTTGAGTTGGAGTCTCACTCTGTCGCCCAGACTGGAGTGCAGTGGCTGCTCCCAGCCACCGCAGCCTCAACCTGCTGGGCTCCGGCGATCCTTCTAAGTAGCTGGAATTACAGGCACGTGCTACCATGCCTGGCTGTTTTTTTTATTTATTGTAGAGATGAGGTCTCACCAAGTTGCACAGGCGGGTCTTGAACCCGCAGGCTCAGGCAATCCACTCACCTCAGCCTCCCACGGTGCAGGATTACAGGCTGAGCCACCGAGCCGGCTAGGACATTCTCTTTAAATGAGCACATTTGCAGAATGACTTTTGAATAAGAAAAAATGAATAGTTGAAGGAATAAATTTTAATGAAGGAAGCAGCGAGCATGAATATGTATCCCTTACAAAGCATTCTAAAATTATAAAGTTGTTTAGAAAATGTTCTATCTTTTTCTAATTCTATTGGGAAAATGCAGGATGGATTGGAGCCTAGGAGCTTTATTTGGTTTTTGCCATTTCTGTGGTATTAAGATTAGTCTTTAGGCATTTTTCACATGTCCCTTGGTGTAGGGGCATTTGTTAGTTATTTATTATAAAAACAGTAGACAATGCTTCATGTATATTAGCAAATAGTTTGTGATAGAGATAGTAAAATCATCTTCAGGACTGCAGAGAGGTTCCCCATTTGGATCTGTTGTTTTCTAGTTAAAACTCTTTCTTATTTAGTGATTTAAAAAAAAATGGAAATGGGTTGAAAAGTGATGATCCCGTGGATACTCCTAGGAAAGCTCTTGTCATTTCTTTGTGTGGAACAGTTTTCTAATATTTGTGTGATGTGTCTTTTCTGGCACAACGAGACTGGTAATTTCTTTTTGAGTGGTGTTGTTATTCATCTTTGCTTTTTTGTTAATAAGATTATTAGTTTTAATTTTAATTTTTTTCCTTCTTGTGTTCAACATTATGCAAGATAGGTAATCTTTTGATAATAGTAAACTAACCTGTATTTGTATATTTAAAATTAATTGTGGCTAAGATAGTGAAAAAAGTACCAAGCAAGCCTGGAGAATGCTTAACAATTTCATTTTCTGACCATAGTAGACAACATAATGTGTGTGAAAGAACCAATGGGTGAATGGATCGAAAACTTGTAAACTTAGTAGAAGTAGAATGCTCACCTCAGAGAGTTTTCTTCTCCGAGTTTCTTGTCTGTTAAATGGAAATCCTAATACTTATGTAACAGAGCTATTGTGAGCATTAAATGATGTATTTGTTGGCATTTAGCAAGCATAGGATGAATGTATTTATTTTTAATTCATTTATTTTTAATATATTTATTTGTTTTAATTAAAAAAAATATTTTTTGAGTCAGGGTCTCACTCTGTTGCCCAGGCTGGAATATGGTGGCATAATCATGGCTCACTGGAGCCTTAACCTCTTGGGCTCAGGTGATCCTCCTGCCCAGTCTCCTGAGTAAATGGGACTACAGTTGTATGCCACCAAGCCTGGCTAATCCTTCTTTCTTTCTTTCTTTCTTTTTTTTTTTTGAGTCGGAGTTTCACTCTGTTGCCCAGGCTGGAGTGCAGTGGCAAACTCATGGCCATTGCAGCCTTGACCTGCTGGGCTCAGGTGATCCTTCCACCTCAGCTTTCCAAGTAGCTGGAACTACAGGCACATGCCACCATGCCTGGCTAAGTTTTTTTTTTTTTTGAGTTATTGTAGAGATGAGGTCTCACCAAGTTGCTCAGGCTGGTTTTGAATCTGTGGACTCAGGCTGTCCTATTACCTTGGCCCCTCAAAGTGCTGGGATTATAGGCTTGAGCCACCGTGCCTGGCCTAATTGTTATTTCTTTTAGAGAGAAGTTTTTTTTCTCTGTTACCTAGACTGAAGTGCAGTGGTCCAGTCATAGCTCACTACAGCCTCTACCTTCTGGGTCAAAGGATCATCCTACCTCAGCCTTCTGAGTAGCTGGGACTACAGGCATGCACCACCATGCTGGACTAATTTTTAAATTTTTTTATAGCAATGGGGTCTCACTATGTTACCCAGGCTGGTCTTGAACTTCTGGCATCAAGTGATCCTTTCACCTTCAGCTTCCCACAGTGCTTACAGTGCTGGGGTTATGGGCGTGGGCCACCGTGCCCAGCCATGAATTTAAATATTTATTTAAATTTTAGGCCATTTTGAGGTTTGGAATGGATTATGTTCTAAAATTACAATTGTAACTTAAACTTTGAGAATGATCATTGTATTCTGCAAAGATATACTGGTGAGTTTTTCATTCCATTCTAAGGCTCTTTTGCCTACAAATATAAACAATTCTATTTTATTTTTATATTTTGCAGGTTTGCATGCATCCCCACAATGTTCTGTCCGATGTGGTGAACTATACCCTGTGGTTAATGGAGTGTTCTCATGCCTCAGGATGCTGCCATGCTACCATGTTTTTCTCAATTTGCTTCTCATTCCGGGCCGTCTTGGAACTCTTTGATCGCTATGATGGTCTTCGTCGTCTGGTGAACCTGGTGAGGTTCTTTCAGTGGCTTTTCTTGCTAGGATTAGGTGTTTTGCTTGTCATTCATTGTGTGAAGTCTATTTTCTTTCTTTGTTTACAAGTTTTTCTTTTTTTTCTTGAGTCAGAATCTCACTCTCTTGCCTAGCCTGAAGTGCAGCGGCACACTCACAGCTACTGCAGCCTCGACCCTCTACGTTCAGTTAATCCTTCCACCTTAGCCTTCCAAGTAGCTGGAACAATAGGCATGCATCACCATGCCCAGCTAATTTTCAAAAATTTATTGTAGCCAGGTGCAGTGGCTCATACCTGTAATCCTAGCACTTTGGGAGGCGAAGGTGAGAGGATTGCCTGAGCCCAGGGATTTGAAACTAGCCTGGGCAACTTGACGAGACATTGTCTCCACAATAAATTAAAAAATTAGCTGGGTGTGGTGGCACGCACCTGTGGTGGTTCCAGCTACTTTGGAAGGCTGAGGTGGAAGGATCGCCTGAGCCCAGTGCGTTGAGGCTGCGGTGGCTGTGAGTGTGCCACTGCACTGCAGCCTGAGCGACAGAGTGAGACTCCAACTCAAAAAAACATTATTGTAGAGATGAGGTTTCACCAAGTAGCCCAGGCTGGTTTTGAACCCCGGGGCTCAGGCAATCCTCTTGCCTCTGCCTGCCAAAGTGCTGGGATTACAGGCGTGAACCACTGTGCCTGGCTTCTCTTTTTCTTTAGTGGTTAGAGGATGCTGTGCCATTGTAGACTTACCTTGAATTTGGAATCTTATGGAAGAATTGCTATTAATGATCTTGATCTTTCTAAAATCAATAGTTTTATGCCTGTATATCCTTCAACATGACTAAAAGCTCTGTCATTTTTCAGTTTGAATTTAAGATTTTGCCTTTATATAACACCTGTTAGTATGTTACGTTCATGGATATGCATTGGTATTTGTCAATCTTGTTAAGCATGATAGTTCACTAACATATTTTTCCTTCTTTTAAAAATTACTTTTGTTTCTTCCTGCTTGTTCTCCTCTTCCTCCCCCCACTTCTGCCTCAATCTTTTGCCTCTTTCTTAATAGATCAGTACTTTGGAGATTCTAAATTTGGAGGATCAGGGTGCACTTCTGAGTGATGATGAAATATTTGCTAGCCGCCAAACTGGGAAACATACCTGCATGGCCTTGCGCAAATACTTTGAGGCTCACCTGGCCATTAAATTGGAGCAAGTTAAGCAATCACTTCAGAGGACTGAGGGTGGCATTCTTGTCCACCCTCAACCCCCGTACAAGGTGAGAAGACCTTGTCTTAAAATGGAAAGTTCTGTTAACCCTCTTTGTAGCATGTTGACCCTGAAACATTCAGATCAGTGGAATCCTGTGGAATTATGGCTTGTATGGAGGTAGAACAACTGAAAATGGATAAAATAGGTGAATTTCAGGGCTTATTTTGCTCCCAGTTGTAAGCTGCTGGGATACTAAACCTAAAAGATTAACTGAAATCTGTGTAAAAGAGTTTTCTTTAATGAAAAATACTAGATATCTTGCCTTCTGTGCAGAATTCTTGTGAAAGGGAGTGTCTATAATTCCTCTGTCATTTTGGAACTTTACATATTTTGAGATGAAGATCAATACCTGCATATTTTAAAAAAATCACAAATTGAAATCAGTGATATGGTGTTTCTTTCTTTTCTTGAGCTGTAAAATATATGCACAAAGGAAACTTTGTTAACTTTTTGGGCAAGTTGTATTATAAGTCTAGTTATAAATAAACAAGATTAAGCAGTATATAATCATTATTTCATATATGGGCTTGAATTGTAGAATTTGGAAGCTATTATAATTTAGCTTTGTTATTAAAACCGATTGGCCAGTGAGCTGTGCTCCAGAAGGTGATAGAATTATATGCAATAATAATATATATCTTTCCTTATAGGCATGTTCATATACTCATGAACAGATTGTGGAAATGATGGAATTTTTGATAGAATATGGCCCAGCGCAGCTATACTGGGAACCAGCTGAAGTCTTTCTCAAGCTTTCTTGTGTGCAACTCTTATTGCAGCTTATTTCTATTGCTTGCAATTGGAAGACCTATTATGCAAGGTGGGACCAGAGAGAGGTTTCAAATGAAGTTTGCTTCTGCTTTTTGCTAAAGTTGATGTTGGTTTGCATATGGTATATGTTTAACAAATATTTATTGAATTGAATTGAAATTTTCAACATAAATCTGATAAATGAGATAAAGCATGAAAATATGATTTTTGATTTACAGGGTGCTTATTCATACATATAGTCTTGGTGATTGTAAATACTATGCATTAGACAGGGATCGTACTTAGCCTTTAAATGTCTCACTGCTACTTGATAGCCATGCGTAATGTTTATCTTACTTTCATGTAAAGCAGTCTTTTACTGTTGGAATTCAATATACTGTTAGGATTTTCATGATTCTGTTATAGGCAGTCAGAGCAGAGCAAGATGTGCCTCAGAAAAGGGCAGCTGATACAATCAGGAGGTTGGGTGGGTTCTATTTGAGGATGATTTTAAAAGGAATAAAACTTACATCTGTTGTGTGGGAAATTTAAAAGAAAGCATTATGACTATGTTTTGGAAAAGATGAGGTATGAAGGGAAGATAGTAACAAAGTTTATAAACAGCAGTTCTTGACCTTCTTTCCCCATTTACCTACTGCCATCGAGATAAGAGAGGGGCTTATTTAGGGTGAATATAGCTTGTTTCCTGAATTCCAGGTTTTAAATCCTAGTGACTTATTTTTGGAACAAGTATTTTTAAACTTTTGGTGTTAGAACCTCTTTACTATATTAATAATTATTAAGTCTGGGCGGGGTGACTCACATCTGTGATACCAGCACTTTGGAAGGCTGAGGTGGATGGGTTCCTTGAGCTCAGGAGTTTGAGACCAGCTTGGGCAATATAACAAAACCTCATCTCTATTAAAAAATAATAATTATTATTATTATTGAGAACTCCAAAGAGTTTTTGTGTTATATCTATGTTTACTGTATTAGAAATTAAAACAAAAATGTAAAATTATCTATTTATGCATTTATTTAAAAATAATACTAACCCATTGCACTTTTTATGAAAAGTTTCTAAAATAAAACCAGATAGTTTTAGCAGGTTTTAAAAAATGACTGGCTTTATAGCTTATATCTGCTTCTGTATTCAATCTTTTGTGACATCACATAGTCTCTGGAAGACTTCACTATACAATGAGAGAATGAGAGTGTGAAAGGAAAATAACATCTTAGTATTATTATGAAAATAGCTTTGACTTCACAGGACCTTCTTTTTTTCCTTTTTTTTTTTTAAAGCCCTTTCATTCTAGGATACACAGGACTTTCTGAAAGTGTCTCAGAGACTTCCAGGGGTCCTCCAGAGTATACTTTGAAAACTGCTGTTTTAGAATATTGAAAAGAAGTAGGTTGTTATATTTATTTGGAGAATTGCTTAAAAAGTGATGAAAATGCAAAAGATAACTAGGAAGGGTATAAATACATTTTTTGACTGAAAGATTTATACTTGGATTATTGAAAAAATAAATGTTCTTGATTTTAAAAGTTTATTTTCAAAAATAAAATTAATAAATGCTTGTTTCTGCTTTGGAATATGCAGAGCCTTATAAAGAGAAAAGAACATTACTCTTAGCCTCTGTTAGTTTTCTCTCAGTCTTTTTCAATGATGTTTATAAATATACATACTTGATATTATACTATTGAATCAAATTTATCTTTTTTTTTTTTTTTTTTTTTTGAGTTGGAGTCTCACTCTGTTGCCCAGACTGGAGTGCAGTGGCCGCTCCCGGCCAGCGCAGCCTCGACCTGCTGGGCTCCAGCGATCCTTCCGCCTCAGCCTTCCAAGTAGCCGGAATTACAGGCATGCGCTACCACACCCGGTTGATTTTTTGATTTATTGTAGAGATGAGGTCTCGCTGCCCAGGCGGGTCTCGAACCCGTGGGCTCAGGCAATCCATTCACCTCAGCCTCCCAAAGGCTCGGGATTACAGACTGAGCCACCGAGCCCGGCTCAAATTTATCTTTTTAATGAATATTTCAAAACATAGAAAGATACAGAAAATAGTATAACAACTGCTCCAACTTTAACTAGGGTTGGCATGTTGTATTTGCTTCTTCCTTAATTCCTTTCCTTTTCTTGTCTTCCCAGAATGACTCATCTTCTGAATTTGGACTATATTTTCTCCATTCTTGTTTTTATACTATACATATCTGTGTGTCCAAACAGTAATATAGTACTGCTTTGTGTGTTTTAAAATTATATATTTTCTTTCTTTCTTTTTTTTTTTGAGTTAGAGTCTCACTCTGTCTCCCAGACTGGAGTGCAGTGGCACGCTCACAGCCACCGCAGCCTTGACCTGCTGGGCTCAGATGATCCTTCCACCTTAGCCTTCCAAGTAGCTGAAACTACAGACGAGTACTACCACGCCTGGCTAATTTTTGATTTATTGTAGGGACGAGGTCTTACCGAATTGCCCAGGCTGGTCTCGAACCCCTGAGCTCAGGCAGTCCCCTTGTCTCAGCCTCCCAAAGTACTGGGATTACAGACTTGAGCCACTGCACCTGGCTGTATATTTTCTTAAATGAATCTTTTGCAACTTGCCTTTATGTTTTTCCTAATGCATTTTTTGCAATTTGTTCTTATGTTTTTGAGTTTTATACATGTTGATATTTATTTAAACTGCTGTGTTTCTATATTACAGTTTATTCCCTGTTGATGTATATTTAGTGGTTTTTTTTTTTTTGCTATTAAATAAATGGTACTATGAAGCTCCTTTTGGAGTCTCTCTTGAAGATAAGTTATGTAGAATCTGGATTGTAGGTTGTCTGTATTTTTACCTTTACTGGATGTTGCTATACTGCTTGTAAAATGTTCATCAAACCATTTTCTTCTCTCATGAGCAGTATGTAGGAACTTTTATGTTTCTACTTCTTACCATTACTTGATGTCGTCAGATATTTAATTTTATATTTTCTATATCATTAATGTAGTATTTTGAACTTTTTCCTTCATCCTTTATTATATAAGTGTACTGTAATTTTTTTTTTTTTTTTTTTGAGTTGGAGTCTTACTCTGTTGCCCAGACTGGAGTGCAGTGGCTCCTGGCCACTGCAGCCTCAATCTGCTGGGCTCCAGCGATCCTTCCGCCTCAGCCTTCCAAGTAGCCGGAACTACAGGCATGCGCTACCACGCCCGGCTGATTTTTTGGTTTATTGTAGAGATGAGGTCTCGCCGCCCAGGCGGGTCTCGAACCCGCGGGCTCAGGCAATCCACTCACCTCAGCCTCCCAAAGGCGCGGGATTACAGGCTGAGCCACCGAGCCCGGCTCCATGTACTGTAATTTAACATATATATTCCTGTTATCTGTGTGGGTTTTCTAATTCTTTTGCTATTTTAAATGTTGTGGTATTGGCATCTTAATACATAAATACTTGTTTGTACTTCTGATGTCTGTTTTTTGTGTTTTTTTTTGAGTCGGAGTCTCACTCTTGTTGCTTGTAGTGGCACACTCATGACTTTTGCATCCTTGACCTTCTGGGCTCAGGTGATCCTATCCTTTCACCTCAACCTTCCAAGTAACTGGAACCACAGGCACAAGCCACCACACTAGACACATTTTTTTGGTTTATTATAGAGACTAGATCTTGCCATATTGCCCAAGCTGGTCTCGAACCCTCAGTCCTCTCACCTTCACTTCCCAGTCCTCTCACCTTCACCTCAGGTGTGAGCCACTGCGCCAGGCTAGAGCATATTGTTAGAGGTGAAATTCCTGGGCCAAGGTTTATGAACATTTTAAGAATCTTGTTTCATATTTCCAGATTACTTTCTAGAGTGTGTTCATTTCTACTCTTACCAAAACTTTGCGAACGTTTGACTCACCAGCATTAGAGATTCTTCTATGTTTTTAATCTTAGCAGTTTGATAGGGAAGAATTTCATCCCTTCTGGGTCACACCCATAATTCCATCACTTTGGGAAGCGGAGGTGAAAGGATTGCCTGAGCCCAGGGGTTCAAGACCAGCCTAGGCAACATGGCAAGACCTCATCTCTACAGTAAATCAGCATATTAACTGGGCGTGGTGATGCATGCCTGTAGTTCCAGCTACTTGGAAGGCTGAGGCAGTAGGATCACCCGAGCATTTGGAGGCTGCAGTAGCTGTGAGTTTGACACTGCATTCCAACCTGGGTGACAGAGTGAGACTCTGACTCAAAAAAAAAACAAAACAAAAATTCTACCCCTATGTTTTTTGGAAGTAAGCCATGGTTACTTAGAAATTCTCTCTTGATGCTACATCTGGGGATAGAGCCATGCAGCTAGTGGTTTTTATCTGTTGTCTCTGTCTCTCTTGCTCTATTTTTAACTGTTACTGTTTCTTGTGACTGTATTCAAGTTTCCCTTTGACTAATTCTTCTTCCTGTCTAGGAATGACACTGTGCGCTTTGCTTTGGATGTCCTAGCTATTCTCACTGTGGTGCCAAAAATCCAGCTCCAGTTGGCAGAATCAGTGGACGTGCTGGATGAAGCTGGCTCTACTGTCTCTACAGTAGGTAGGTTGTACCTTGCCTTTTTTGTTTTTCTTGGTCTGAACTTGTTTTCTTTTGTTTTTCTGTCTGTGGTTACTTACCTGACCCAATTTTGGGATATTAGGATTAAAAGTAGTAGTAAGTAATGCCAGACAGGTTCATATAAGGGAGTTGTGCTAGTAACTCAGGTTTTCTTAGTGGTACTGGCATTTCTGCTGTAATGGCTATAATGGTACATTGTAGCATTTCTGAAAACCTTACATTCTTCAGAGTCTTGCACTAAAGACTCTGGGAAAAATCGATTGGGGCAGATAGTAAAAAACTTATGCATCACTACTTGCCAGGAGAAAAAGGGAGAAAAAAAAAGCAGCTTTGTAACTTGAACATTAAAAGAAAATCAGTAATTGGCGAGTATCTCAAAATGAGTAGAAACTATTGTATATACACAAAAAAAGGAAAATAGACTTTGTTTGAAAATATACTTTATTAAGAACAAGGCTGGGGCTGATGAGGTTGTTGCTGAGGTGAGCATGGGAAATAGTGTGACTGGCTGTAGATTCTAGGGTGCACCATACTGGGGACACAGCCCAAGGCACAGGTACTTGTTTTTGATCTTTAAAATATATTAGTGGAAAGGTTCTTACTGCCACAGTAACAGCCAAGCTGAGACCTTTTTCCTTTCCTAAGTATCATTTTGATTTATCGCTGCTATTTTTGCTCAGTTTATCTAGAAAAAGTTGCACATGAACCTTGGTGACATTATTTCCCTATTTAATAATTGCATATGAGGTATTGCATCATCAAGATTCAATGTAGTAGAACTGGTTGTATTTTATATAAACAATTTTTTGCATTTTTTAAAAAATTAAGGGAGTTTTCTGTTTCTTTTCTTTCTTTCTTTTTTTTTTTTTTTTTTTAGTAGAACAGAATGAATAAATAGAAGCCCAAATTTTGACTCTGGAGCAACAATCGAAGTTGGCCATTAGTTTTATGATGAAAGATATAATTTTTTTTTCCCCAATAGGTATCAGCATTATTTTGGGAGTGGCTGAGGGTGAGTTCTTTATCCATGATGCTGAAATTCAGAAGTCAGCACTTCAAATTATCATCAACTGTGTGTGTGGCCCGGATAACCGAATATCCAGTATTGGCAAATTTATTTCTGGTACTCCTCGGAGAAAACTGCCTCAGACTCCCAAAAGCAGTGAGCACACCCTGGCCAAGATGTGGAATGTGGTGCAGTCCAACAATGGCATTAAAGTGCTCCTGTCCTTATTGTCCATCAAGATGCCCATCACAGATGCAGACCAGATCCGGGCCCTGGCCTGCAAGGCCCTGGTGGGCCTGTCTCGCAGTAGCACTGTCCGGCAGATCATCAGCAAACTGCCCCTTTTCAGCAGTTGCCAGATCCAGCAGCTGATGAAGGAGCCTGTGCTGCAGGACAAACGCAGTGACCATGTCAAGTTCTGCAAGTATGCTGCTGAGCTCATTGAAAGGGTGTCAGGAAAACCACTTCTCATTGGCACTGATGTTTCCCTGGCACGACTGCAGAAAGCAGATGTTGTTGCCCAGTCAAGGATCTCCTTCCCTGAGAAAGAACTGCTTCTGTTGATACGAAACCATCTTATTTCTAAAGGGCTTGGAGAGACAGCAACCGTGCTGACGAAAGAGGCTGACCTGCCCATGACTGCTGCCTCCCATTCTTCTGCCTTCACCCCAGTCACTGCTGCTGCTTCTCCTGTCTCTCTTCCCCGAACCCCTCGTATTGCTAATGGCATTGCAACTCGACTGGGCAGCCACGCTGCTGTGGGTGCCACTGCCCCTTCTGCCCCCACTACACATCCTCAGCCACGGCCCCCACAGAGTTCACTAGCTCTGCCCGGCCCATCTTATGCAGGCAACTCCCCTTTGATTGGTAGGATCAGTTTTATCAGAGAGAGGCCATCACCCTGCAATGGCAGGAAAATCAGAGTGTTGCGGCAGAAGTCAGACCACGGCGCCTACAGCCAAAGTCCAGCCATAAAAAAGCAGCTGGACAGGCATCTTCCTTCCCCACCTACGCTGGACAGTATCATCACAGAATACCTTAGAGAACAACATGCTCGCTGCAAGAATCCAGTTGCCACCTGCCCACCTTTCTCTCTCTTTACTCCTCACCAATGTCCTGAGCCAAAACAGAGGCGACAAGCGCCAATAAACTTTACCTCAAGGCTAAACCGCAGGGCATCATTTCCAAAGTATGGAGGGGTAGATGGCGGATGTTTTGATAGGCACCTTATCTTTAGCAGGTAAGAAGAGGGCTCCTCATTCCCTGGGAATTGGAATTATTCTTCTATATAAATGAAAGTGTTTGGGCAATATCAGCAATTAATGATTAGTCTAGAAAGTTGTTTGTTTTTTCCAGAAGGTTGTTGACCTGAAATACCACTGATTGTAACTTTGTGTAATACATGAACAGTGTATCCGTACCACCTTTTGTCAACCATGAGTTCCTCGTGTGACTGTTGGGAATATATTGATATAATCTTCTGTGTTCTTGTCACAACTAGTGTAATATTTTTCAGAACCCATGCAACATAGTGTTCCTAATGAGACTCTCAAACTGGTTTTTGTGTTTATCTAAGTTGCCTCCTGTTCTGATTCTTTTTTATTTGTTTGTTTTTGTTTTGTTTTGTTTTGAGTCAGAGTCTCACTCTGTTGCCTGGACTGGAATGCAGTGGCATGCTCATGGCCACCCCAGTGTTGACCTTCTGGGCTCAGGTGGTCCTTCTGCCTCAGCCTTCCAAGTAGCTGGAACTACAGGCACATGCCACCATGCCAAGCTAATTTTTTGATTTATTGTAGAGATGAGGTCTCACCAAGTTGCCCAGGCTGACCTTGAACCTGTCGGCTCAGGCAGTCCTCTCACCTTGGCCTCTCAAAATGCTGGGATTATAGGCCTGAGCCACTGCACCCGGCCCCGTTCTGATTCTTAACAAATATCACTTAAGGGTCTTGTGATCACAAGTTTTAGACATGGGAATTTTTGTTGTTTGAATCTGTAAATGGAGATCTTTTTCTCTCATTTTTTATGAAAATGGGTTGGGTGCAGTACCTGTAATCCCAGCACTTTGGGAGGCAGAGGCGAGAGGATTGCCTGATCCCAGGGACTTGAGACCAGCCTGGGCAACTTGATGAGACCATGTCTCTACAATAAATCAAACAATTAGCTGAGCGTGGTAATGTGCGCCTGTAGTTCCAGCTACTTGAAGTGCTGAGGTGGAAGAATAGCCTCAGCCAAGCAGGTTGAGGCTACAGTGGTCATGAGTGTACACTGCACTCCAACCTGGGTGACAGAGTAAGACTCTGACTCAGATAAAATAAATAAAAATAAGATGAAAATAAATTACTGAAAAGGTCACTGTGATTTTGGAAGAACCCATTTGAAACATTAATTCTCTGTATTTTTTCTTCTATCTGTCTAGCAAAGTTTGCTTTTTCTTAGTTTCTGCACGTTCTTTGTCTCTGATTCTCTCCTTTTTTGCTTAGATTCCGTCCTATTTCAGTGTTCCGGGAAGCCAATGAAGATGAGAGTGGCTTCACTTGCTGTGCATTCTCAGCACGGGAGCGATTCCTGATGCTTGGCACCTGCACCGGGCAGCTGAAGCTCTATAATGTGTTTAGTGGACAGGAGGAGGCCAGCTATAACTGTCACAATTCAGCTATCACACACCTTGAACCTTCCAGGGTAAGGGTCCCTTCCTAGGATGCTCTCAGTTCTTCTAAGATGGATTGATGAACTAGAGTAAAGGAGGTTAACCCTTTATTGGGCTTTCTTTTTGAAAAGAGTTCTCAAATAGAATGTCTAGTTGAGGTTAACTCATATTTCAGATGGACTGAGGAATATGGCTAAGTATTAGGAAGAAGGGAACCATCTTTGGCAGGTTTTGAAGTTCTAGTTAAGGAGGATTTAATATTCTCTTAAATTTATTTTCTAGGATGCTACAGCTATGTCTATTTAAATACTAATGACTTCTGGCCATTTTTTGGTTTCTGGGAGTTTGTCTATTTTTTCTTTAATCCAGTATTGTTTTTTATACATATATTTAAAAATATTAGTGGCAGGTAGTGACATCTATGTATATGTAAACACATGATTGCCCACCTTGAGCCTTCTTCTTTTAGGATGGATCCTTGCTGCTGACATCTGCTACTTGGAGCCAGCCTTTGTCTGCACTTTGGGGGATGAAATCCGTATTTGATATGAAGTATGTATCTGCTTTTGCAACCTAGTCTGTGTTTTATGTACCTAATTTGTATCCCCTTTCATCCTCCTTTTAGACTGGAAGCCTTTTGGGAAAAGAGGATTGTTGTGAGTTATTACTGATTTTTCTCTTTTTTTCTTTCTCTTCCTCATCTGAGGCCCATGTTTAATAAGATTTTATCTTTCTTAATTCCTAGATATTTTTACAGATACGTATATTCCCATTGTACAGCAGATCCTAACCCAAAATCTATGTCTCTTTCCTTGTTTGCATATGACATTGCATTCTTTGCTGGGTATTTCAAAGGCACATGTGCCCTGTTAGCTATTTTTCTAACCATTTCCCATTAATTATTTTGGGTCTGTTCGGGCAGATGGATGGAAGTTGTTTTGTTTTTGTTTTTGTTTTTCAATCTAAGTATGCAGTTGTTTGGGAGCAAAGGATCTTCAGGTGAGTGTGTTTGTGCAAAAGACTGAGAATAAACCCTTATTTTCAGTTGGTTGAAGGAATATATCCGTAAGGTCTGTTGCTATAGTACTCCTGTTGTTTGTCCATAGGCATTCCTTCACAGAAGATCACTATGTTGAGTTCAGTAAGCACTCTCAGGATCGAGTCATAGGCACAAAAGGAGACATTGCCCACGTAAGTATTTAAGAATACACTGCTTTCAGGCTGATTATGGCCATGTTTTCATACTGAAATCTTGATACACTGAGTATGAGGACCTCAGTCCTGTGGGCAACTAGAAAGTTACTCAATGATATTCCTTCCAGTTAGAATCTGGAAGTGTGATAAAATAGATCTAAGCTATATGGGGAAAATGTAATAGGGCTGAACATAATCTGGCAATTTGAGATAGGTGTCACTAGCACAGTAGATATTTTGAGTTCTTACTAATTTTTAGATTAGAGATAAAGTCTCCGCCTTCAGGAAGCCTCATTAGGGAGATAATGAAGAAAGAAGCAAATATATGATGTTAGGTGGTAAGTGTTACAGAGAAAAAGCAAGCAGGGTAAGAGGTAGGAAATGCTTGTTGGTGGCATGGGGGACTTCTGTTTTATCTAGGATAGTCAGCATCACCGATTGGGTAACATTTAAGCAGAGCCTTGAAGGAAATATGAGTGTCACTTAGATATCTGGAGGAAGAATGTTCTAAGGCAGAGGGAATGACAAGGGAAAGGCCCTTGCTTGGGAGGGGGATGGTACAGGAGAAGGTGAGAACTGAGGTCAGTGAGGTGGCTATCTCATAGCATCTTGTAGTTAGTAGTGAGGACCTTTATTTTTTCCTTTGTGTAAAATGAAGACATTGGAGGTGAGCGGAGGATACATGAGTGGATGAATGAGGGGGGACCCAAAAAAACCTGGAATTATTTTTTGGAGGGTGGGCCCCTTGTAGTATAGGCTTCCCCTGCTAGGTAAGTGTTATAGGAACTCATCAGCATCAGTGTACCAGCTAATGTTGTTATGAGAGGCTGCGTTAGTCTTCCATGAATTTTTTTTTTTTTTTGAGTTGGGAGTCTCACTCTATTGTCTAGGCTGGAGGGCAGTGGCATGCTCACAGCCAACACAACCTTGACCAGCTGGGCTCTGGCGATCCTTCCACCTCAGCCTTCCAAGTAGCTGGACCTACAGGCATGCACCAACATGCTTGGCTAATTTTTTTTTATGTATTATAGAGATGACGTCTTGCCAAATTGCCCAGGCTGGTCTCGAACCTGTGGGCTCAGGCAATCCTCTCATCTCGGCCTCCCAAAGTTCTGGGATTATAGGCATGAGCCATAGCGCCTGGCGCATGATGGGTGATTTTTGAACACACCTGCCCACACTGCACTGCGGGCTCAGCAATTTTTGACTGAAAATGTTGTGACCCCTGTGCCCTACCCTCCTTATTCATCTGATCTTGTCCCAAGTAATTTTTTTGTTTCCCTACCAAAAAAAGTCCTCAAAGGGAAATGTTTTACCATTGTGGAAGAGGTAAAACAAAAAACAGCAGAAGCACAAAAAGGCATCAAAATGGATGAGTTCTAAAACTGTTTTGAGCAGTGACAGAAGTGTCTTGATAGGTGCATTGCATCAAACGGAGGGTATTTTGGAGGTGACTGAAGTTTAAACATGTAAGAATAAATACATGATTTTTAATAAATAAATTCTGGGTTTTTATTGGGTCCCTCCTTGTGAAATTCCTAAAGCTTGACTTTGATTTCTGTGAGAGGAAAGAACAGGCCTTATAGGTAGGAGGGTAGTTGTATCAACTGACACATGAGAGGTGTAGTGGGACTGATCCTAGGCTGGCAATGAAAAGTGAGGGACCTTAGCCCCGGAATTTTGGACACATGAAGCTTGAGATTTATTAGACATTTAAGTAGAGAATGGAGAGTTGAATATACAGATTGGGAGTTCAGGAAAGAGATCTGTGTTGGGAGATGTAAAAATGGGAATTGTCCACATATCAATAGTATTTAGAGCCATGAATCTGAATGAGAGTATCATGGGGGCTAGAGAAGAGTAGAGATGTGGGGACAGAGTCCTAGCATGTGCCAGTATTTAGAAGTTGTCAAATGGGGAACGTGGGAAGGAGATTAAAGAAAGTTGCCGATAAGGCAGAATGAAACCCCAGGAAAAAGAAGTACCCCAGAAGCCAAAAGAATACTGTATTTTGAGGAAGGATTGATCAACTGGGTCAGAGATTGCTGTTGAGTTGCATAAGAAGAGAACTGAGAGGTGACCTTTGATTTAACTACATTGAGGTTATCATTAACCACATCAAGAAATATTCTGTACACTGGTGAAGTGAAAACCTGATTTGAATTGGTTCATGAGAACAAGGGAGAAATTGACACGCTGAGTATAGATAATTCTTTTGACGTGTTTCACTGAAAAAATGAAGGAGAGAAAGTAGGGTAGTAGCTTGAGGGGGGGAATATGAGGTGATAAAGGGAAGCTTTTCCCCCAGCTTTTCATTTGAAAATGTTAAAACAAAAAAATTGAAAGAATAGTATATATATACCTGTCACCTAGGTTCATCAGTTTAATATTTTGCTATATTTTTTCTGTGTAAATGTGTGTGTATTTTTCTGAACTGTTTAAAAGTAAATTGCAAACATCATGACAACTTATGCCTAAGTCTTCAGTATGTGCCTCCCAACAGTAGACATTTTAGCTGGGCTCAGTGGCTCAGCCTGTAATCCTGTGCCTTTGGGAGGCTGAGGTTAGTGGATTGCCTGAGCCCACGGGTTCGAGACCCGCTTGGGCAGTGAGACCTCATCTCTTCAATAAATCAAAAAATTAGCCGGGTGTGGTAG